ATATCCTCCCACAACTCATCTGGCCTTCGTTCATTAGTGTTCAAAGCCTCAAATCTGTTCCTGAGATGGTTCTGAAATTCAGGTGGGATAGACTCAAAGTTATATTTTGGTTGCCTTGGATTTGGTTTAATTTTCCTCAGCTTTAGCTTGAATTTGCATGTGAGTACAGTTTTAGACAAGCATAATGTAGAATACTGTAAGTCATGATGAATTCAATTCATGATGAAAATTATAATCGTTGTCACTTGGATAATAAGGATGATATATAAATTTAATTCTTTACTATTTAATAAGTATGATTTATAATATTCATACAAGTGAATATTTTGTTATACTATATTGTTTCATGAGGTTTGCATCCACTTCATACTCCCTGCCTCAAACCCTGAACCTTTCAAAAACTGTAACAGGTATCTTGGAGTTTCTTAATTGAAAATCAGAAGGTAAGGGAGAAAAGAGCTGATTACTGCTGACTTCATTTTGGTTCTTTTCCTTCTACCAACCTGTTGCAATTGGGCAACAGGGACCCTCAAAAAACCAGAGTCAGCTCGTTAGTAGCAATTCTAATTCCCAGGCTGAGAATGCAGAGAAAGGAAGGGTAAAGAAAAGGCAGAGGAATGTTAAACCAACTCAGGGACTTCACGAGCACAGAAAAATGTTTCTAGAAAATGTATTAGGTTATACTTTCCATGGTTTTTTTTTCTATCTTCAAATGTAGGTCTTAGTAAACTTTGTTTCTATTAGAAATTTTAAAAGCTCATTGTTTAAAAACTTTAGAGAATTCATAGTCATTTTAAATCATTTGCAGTCACAAAGAAACCACTATTAAGCATTTGGCATATATCCAGCCATTATTTGTTTCCGTCATTGGATGTCAGTTTACATAGTTGTATTTGAACTGTATATTCAATTCTATGCTTTTAAAAATTTACTAAGTAGTATGATATCCCTTACTATAATTTATTTAATAATTTTCTTGGGTAAGAAAATTGGGTTTTCTTCATTCTTGTTTCTACAAATAGAATACATCAATACATACAAATAGTACATCTACCTTTTTTCCATATTGGGATATATTTCTAGAAGTACAATATTTTGTGTGAGAGGATTTCTTGATATATCCTAAAATTATTTTCAAAAAAGATGGCACCCTTTTATCTTCAACAACCATGTACATGGAATATAGTCAGTGTTTTAAATATGCCAATTTAATTTTATGGGCAAAAATTTTATTTATATAAAAATGATATATCACTGTTGAAACAATTATATTGTTGTTGGATGCTGGCAAGTCGACTGTAGTTCATAGAAAGCCTATCCCGATCTTGCACCATGCTCACAATCTCTGTCATGCTGGAGCCTATTGTGGTAGTCCTCATATTAATCCATCTCCTTGTGTGTATTCCTCTCTTGCACCAACTCTCTGCCTTTCCCAGCATGATGTCTATCTCTAAGGATAGGTTCCTCCCGAAAAGATGCCCAGATTTCACTATCCATGCCTCTAAGGAGCACTTTGGTTACACTTGCATCAAGACAGATTTGTTTGTTCTTTTGATAGCAGATGGTATATTCAACATCACCTTCAAAGGCATCAGTTCTGTCATCCTTATTCATTGTCCAGCTTTCTTTGCATAAGAAGCAACTGAAAATTCCAAAACTTGAATCAGGTACACCTTAGCCTTTGAACTGACACTTTTGCTCTTTAGAATTTTGGAGAGGTCCTTGACAGCTGCTTTCCCCAATGCAACACATCTTAATAGTGTTTATTGGGGACCTAATTAAAATGAAATCATTTAACAACTTCAATTTCTTCTCCCTCTTCCATGATGTTGCCTATTAGAGTTTTTGGTTTTTTGAGGTTTAAATGTAACCCATATCGAAGGCTGTACGTAAGTGCTTTGAGTCCCCCTCACATTCTGCATGCGTGGCTGTTGATGAGTATTCTTCCAGTCCTGATGCCACATTCTTCTTCATATAGTCCCACTCCCTGAATGATTTGCTCCTTGAGTGAATGCAAACATACAAATGGAACAGATATAGAGAAAGGATACAGTCCTGACACACCCCTTTCCTGATTTTAAATCATACGGTGTTTCTTTGTTCTGTTCAAGCAACTGATTCTTGGTTTAAGTATAGGTTTTGCATAAGCACAATTAAATATTCTAGGATCCCCATTCTTCTTAAGGTTAGCCATAATTTGGTATGATCCACAGTGTCAAATGATGTTGCAATACAAAATACAAGTAAACATCTTTCTAGTGTCCTCTGTTTTCAGTCAAGATCCTTCTGATAGCAGCAATGATATCCCTAATGCCTCTTATGAATCCAGTTTGAATTTCTAATGGTTCCCTATTGATGTACTGTTCTGTCCATTTTAAAATAATCTTCATCATTATTCAAATAAATATTTTAAAAATCTTCAAAAAAATCAAGATATTACTTATATTTGCTATCAATTATGTTGTTCAAGAATTTCCACATTCTATTGGATCACCTTTCTTGAGTATGGGAACAAGTAGGGATCTCTTCCAGTCTGTAGGCCAGGTAGCAGTCTTCCATATTTATTAGCAGAAACTAGTGAGCACATGTAAGGTTTCATCTGTTTCCTCAAACATCCCAACTCATATTCCATCAGTTCCTGGTGCCTGGTTTTCGCCAATGTGCAGTTTTCACTTCTTCCTTTATTACTACTGGCTCTTGATCATATGCTACTCCCTGGAAAGCTTCAGTATGGACTGATTCTTTCTGGTACAGTGACTCTGTGTATTCCTTCCATTTTCTTTTGGTGCTTCCTGTATCAATCAATAATTTCCCCTTAGAATCCATTGGTATTGGAACTCAAGGCTTGAATTTGTTCTTTGGTTCTTTCAACTTGAGAAATGCTAGGGGTTTTTTTGTTTTGTTTTCTAATTCCAGATCTTTGCACATTTCATTATAATACTTTGCCTCATATTCTTTAGCTGCCCTTAGAAATCTTTTGTTCAACTCTCTTACATCAGCATTCCTTCTCCTTGTTTTGGGTTTTGTTCCAATCCAAGTTTCAGAGTCTCTTTTGACAACCAGTTTGGTCTTTTAATTCTTCTCTGTCTTTGTAAGGACCTTTTGCCTTCTTTGTGGATTATATCCTTGATGTCATCTTACAACTCCTCTGTACTTTAGATATTAGTGTTCATTCAACTGAAGCAATTATAGTATATCATAGTTAGAGTTGAATTAAAGTCTCACTGAAACTATTCTAAAATTTCTGTGAGTGGAAGTTGCTTTAATTCTTACCTAGATGATTCATCATCTAGACTATCCTATGTAAGTTTTTATGTTGGTAACAGATATGTCAGACACACAAGACAAAATAAATGACAAATAGCCAAAGACAAGACATATAATCAAGGATGCCAATTCCTCACAGGTCTTGTCCTAAACACCATAAACAACATTGGGTTCTATATAGAAGTAAAACGTGTGAAGCTTATATATAAATATACAAAGAGATTTATTTCAAGGCAATCGCTAACACCATTGTGAAGAGAGGCAAGCCCTAAATTGGCAGCTTCAGGTGTCAAGCTGGAGACTTCTTCTGACTCACATGTCTGTTGGGGCCTAAAACCCCAAATGAACACATCAGGTGGTAGACTATTGGTTTACATCCCAAGAACCAGAGATCAGAGGGTCATGAGTCAGATAGATGCAGGATCACAAGTTTTCTAGAACATCCATGGTATAGTCTATATTCATCTACCAAAATAACCCCTGTGCAGGGTGCTTTAGCACTCCATTAACTCCCACTCTCCAAGCAGCTTCATGAAGCCTGGTTGGAATCTGAAAGAGAAGGAAGGAGTAGAGCAGTCACAGTCCAGTATCTTCCCACTTCCACTCACATACAGGGCAACTGGGCAGGGCACCTGGCAGTAGTTGCTCTGGCTTTGAGAGCCAAGGCAGTAGATTGGAAGCTACAAACTGGGCCATGGCTCAGCTATGGACTGTGGCCAAACCCAGTCCTGCCTCTCAAATCAGTATGGCCCCTCTCTCCTGGTGCCCTCTAAATGAGCACTCTCCCTACCACGTGGTGGCATGTAAGCTTAGGAGTTGCCCGAATGGATATTAGTCAATGCATACCTGTATTTTATTATGTTTTTGGCTAAAGTTTACACAATCAATTAGGTTCCCTTACAACAATTTTTATATTTCTTATTTAGTAATATGTTGGTTATATTTCACAATCTGACAGTATTCTTATTATGTCCTTTCTGGTTGTTCTGTTTTCCCTGATTAGCCTTTTGTGGGGACTTGGGATTTTTAATTCCTAACAAGAAATAAAGCAGGGTTTATCTTTTCCTCACAGGCTGTGATGGCTGGTATTATTCTGAGCAACGTCTTGACCTACCTTGAAACCATTGCCCACCTACCTGATCTGTGGAGCCAGGACCAGTATGATTGTGTGAGTATTTGAACACTGACTGAGGAAAGTAAAAGTAGAGTAGAAATTTAGAAAGAGAAGAACAATAACAAACAGGGAACATTAGTCAACAGCATGATCCTGATAGCCTCATACTCTACTTTTACTGTAAAAGAGAGTCAATGTAGATGACACATGAAAAGATTTAGACAACTATTCCAAATATGCAAAACTAAATAAATTAAGTTGCTATCAAAATTTCAAACCAGCTCCCATCAAGTTGATTCCAACTTATGAGAACCCTATGTATGTCAGTGCAGACCTTTGTTCCACAGGGTTTTCAATGGCTAATTTTTTGGAAGTAGATCACCAGGCCTTTCTTCCAAGGCACCTCTGGGCAGACTCAAAGTTTCAACTTTCTGCTTAGCAGCTCATTTTGCATTACCTGGGAATTCCTCAGTGGCTACAGAAATAATTCAACAGCTCATTGCTATTAAACCAGAAGCCACTCGGTGAGTTTTCAGAGGTTATAAATCACATGAAAGGAGATTGGTCATCAGTCTCCCAGAGAGCAGTTGATGGATTTGAACCACTTGCCTTTGGCAGTGCCTACACAGTGCAACTTCCTACCCACGAGGTCACCAGAGCTGATTGCATTGCTATTGTTAGGTGCCATTATGAACAACAATTCTGAACTCTGTCCTATCCTCTGCCATCCTAATCATCTCTGATCTGATATACTTGAACCCATTGCTGCAGTCACTGTGTCAATCCATCTCATTGAAGGGCTTCCTCTCTTTTCACTGACTCTCCACCTTTCCAAGGACTAGCCTCTCCTAATGACATGTGCAGAGTATGTGACACAAAGCTTTGCCATCTTTGCCTCCATAGAGTGCTCCAGCTACATTTTCTCCAAGACATTTCTGTTTATTCTTTTGGCAATCCATGGGGTTATTCAGTACTCTTCTCCAATACCACAACTCAAAGGCATGAAGTCGTCTTCTGTCATCCTTATTCTCTGTCTAGTTATGTAGCAAGGGATTGGAAAAAAAAAACACCATGACCTGGATCAGGCACATCTTAGTCTTCAAACTGATATCACTTTGAAAAAGTCCCTAACAGCAGTTTCTCCCAATGCAGTCTATCTCCTGATCTCCTGACTGCTGGTACCAAGGGTGATGACTGTGGATTCAAGTAAGATGAAATTGTTGACAACTTCAATAGTTTCCTCATCTATCATAATATTGCCAGTCAGTAGTAAGAATTTTTGTTTTCTTGATATTGAGATATAATTCATATTGAAGTCTGTAGTTCTTGATCTTCTGTAGCAAATATTTCAAGTTCCCTCACTTTCAGCAAGCAACATTTGTGTCAGCTGCATAATGTAGATTGTTGATGAGTCTTCCTCCAACCGGGATGCCACATTCTTTTTTTATGGAGTTTAGCTTCTCAAATTATTTGCTTAGCACTCAGATTGAATAAGTATGGAAAAAGAATACAATCCTGACACACACTACTTAATTGTAAACCATGCATTTGCATGGTTTGGACAATAGCTTCTTGGTCTAGTACAGGTGTTGTATAGCATAATTAGGTGTTCAGGAATTCTCATTCTTCTCAATGTTAGCTATAATTTGTTATGATCCTCATAGTCAAATGCCTTTGCATTGTCAATAAAACAAATACACATTCTTCTGGTATTCTCTGTTTTCAGCCATAATCTATTGGACATGAGCAGTGACATGCCTGGTGTTGTGGACTCTTCTAAACCTTTCTTGAACTTCTGATAGTTCCCGGCCAATGTACTGTTCTGGCCATTTTTGGATGATCTTCAGCAATATTTTGTTTGCATGTGATATTAATGATATTATTTGATAGTTTCCACATTCTGTTCGATCACCTTTCTTGGGAATGGGAGCAAATATCGATCTCTTCCAGTCATTTAGCCAGCTAGGCAGCTGTCCTCCAAATTTCCTGGCAAAGAGTAGTAAGCACATCCAGGACTCTGTTAGCTGAAACATGTCAGTTCCTTTTCCATTGATTCCTGGGACCTTATTTTTTGCCAATGTTTTCAGTGCAGCTTGAACATCTTCTTTCATTACCACTGACTCTTGATTATATGCTACTTCCTGAAATACTTCTGTGTCAGTCAATTGTTTTGGTATAGTGATTCTGTTTTCTTTCCATCTTCTTTTGATTTCCTGGATTGTCCAATATTTTACTGATTGCCTCTCTCCGTATTGCAACTTTTTAGTGTTTCCAGGCACAGAATAGGAACAGGGTTCGTATCTGTTGTTCATAGGATCACTGTAAGTCATACTCAACCCAAAAGCACCTAGTAAACAACAACAAAGAAAAAGTTTGTCCTGCAGTAAATATTTTAATAGCATTTAATCTAGTCAGCATAGATATTTTCCAAGTTTTTTTTTTAAAAGCCCTATTCCTGTTGAGTTGATGATCTCAACTCATAGTGATCTTACAGAACAGAATAGAAATGTTCCACAGTATACGGCTCCCAAGGAACAAATATATAGAGAGTGACTGCCACATTTTATATTGCTGAGTGAACTGATGAGTTAGAACTACCAACCTTTTGATTAGGTGGAAAGCCCTTTAACCCTTCATTCCAAGACTTTGTTGTTGTTTATGTTATGTGCCATTGAGTTGCCTGCAACTCATAGTGACTCTATAGACAGCAGCTCTAAACTCTGCTCTATCCTGTGCCAAGCTTACTGTCTCTGACACACTTGCCCCCTCAGTCACTGAATCAATCCATCTCATCAAGGGTCTTCCTCTCATACACTGCCCCTCCACCCTCCCAGGTGTGACGTCCCTCTACAAGGACTTTCCCACCTTGCAACATGTCCAAAGTATGTCAGACAAAGCTTCAGAATCCTTGCCTCCAAGGAGCAGCCTGTTTTAACTCTATCTAGGATGAACCTGTTTGTTTTCCTAGCAGTCCATGGTATATTCAATACTCTTGTCCAACACCACAGCTCAAAGTCATCAATTCTCCTTCTATCCCCCCAGTCATTGTCCAGCTCTCTAATGCATAGAAAGTGATTGCAAAGACCATGGCCTGTATCAGGCATACCTTAGTCTCCAGAGTGACACCAGCTCTTGAGTACCTTGACCTAGATAGGATACCCAAATCCTAACAAGAGAAGGAAATACCTTGTCAAAGGGAATAACTAATGGAGCACTGGCCTCCTCACTGGAGCTCAAAACTAAAAGATATTAAGGGAAATCAGAAATAAAATATGGTCAATTTAATATAATAAGAAGGCTTGACCTCAGCTGTTGTTAAGTACCATCTAGTTGACTACGACTCATAGCAACCCTGTGAACAACAGTCCTGAATCCTGTCCTATGCTGTGCTATCTTCATCATCTTGGATCTATTTGAACCTGTTGTTTAAGTCACTGTGTCAATATGTCTTGTTGAGGATCTTTCTTCCTTTTACTAACCCTCCACCTTACCAAGCATAATATCCCTTTCCAAGAAATAGCCTCTCCTAACAACATGTACAAATTACGTGAGACAAAGTTTCACCATTGCCTCTTTCTCCAAGATATATTTGTCCTTTTGACAGAACAGACAAATGTCCATGGGTTATTCAATACTCTTCTCCAACACCACAACTCAAATACATTTACTTCTGTCATCATTGTTCGTTGCCCAACTTTCAGATGCATGGAAGTAATTGGAAAGATCTTGGCTTGGATCAGGTGCTTCCTAGTCTTTAGACTGACATAGTTACTGCTTAATTAACACCTTGCAGAGAGGTCCTTGACAGCAGATTTTTCCAATGTCATGTGTCTTTGGATTTCTTGACTACTGGTACCAAGACTGCTTGTGGATAAAAGTAAGAGGAAACTGTTGACATCTATCATGATGTAGTTTACTGGTCCAAAGGTGAGGATTTTTGTTTTCTTGTTGTTGAGAAGTCATTCATATTGAAAGCTATAAATTTTTATCTTCTATAGCCAGCATTTCAAGTCTTCCTCACTTTCATTAAGCAAGATTGTGTCATCTTCATAACACAAGTTGTTCATGCCACATTTTTCATAAAATCTAGCTTCTTGAATCATTTGCTAAGCTCACAGATTGAATAAGTATGGAGAAAGGATACAGCCTTAATTCATACCTTTCTTGACTTTAAACCACGCAGTGTCCTCTTGCTTTGTTTGGACAACAGATTCTTAATCTAGCTATAGAAAAATAGGAGAAGGGTAAGCTTTGGAACCAGACACCGGAGCAAATAAGAAGGGGATATGGTCCAGAGCATGGGTGGTGGTTCTAGGAGGAGGTTTAATACTTCGATGGGACTGTAGGAAATAAAGGGAGGTTGAGAGCAAATTCTGAAAAGTTAGTTAGAAAGGGAAAGAAATAGTTAAATTTGCCCCAGCCTATTTTCCCTATAGAGATAAGATCACCTACCAAGAATTACAGAAAAAGTAGTGGGATGAGCACTTGTAAAGGATGTGAATATTTGAAATAACTATTCTAGGTGTTGATATGTAGTTTGGTTCAGAATTCTTGTTTATCCATGTAAGAGCACAGGGTTCCATTCCCAGCCACTGCACCTCATATACAGTTACCAGCTATCTGTCATGGAGGCTTGTGTATTACTACAATGCTGAACAGGGTTCAGCAGAACATCTAGACTAGGTTGGATGGGGGGAAAGCCTTGACAACCTGCTTCCAAAAGTCTATGCATCACAACAGCCTGATCCCCATCATGGCACAGGCCTGGGCAGCATATTATCCCATCATGTACAAGGTCACCATGAGTTAGGGGTGACTCAATGACAGTGAACAACAGCAATTTTAGATCTTAAAACAGCAGCTACCATTTTGTAAGTGGTGTGCTTTGTGAGTTGTTTTGTAAGCACTATTTCTAATATCTACAAATCCTGTGAAGCAGATACTGTTATTTCAAGTTTGTACATGAGGAAACTGAAGTTTAGAGGGAGAACAGAAGAATTGGCCAAGAATGCATAAAAGAATCTCTATGCTACATGGAGAGCTTCTTTGTGATGGCAACATCCATATGGATGTTGGATTTCTGCCCCCCTCCAGATCCTAGGTGTGAGAAGGGAAGGGCTGTAGGTGAGTTGCAAAATATAAGTTCTAATTTTCAGAATCATGCTTGTTTTCACAATCTTCCTTTTTCCTTTTATTCCACTTTTCTATAAGGTTATATGGCTGGCAACTTTATTGTCTGTACTTTTTCTGGGACTGGATGCTGGACTACTTGTTTCAGTAGCTTTTTCCTTCTTCATCATCACCATTCGGTCACACAGGTACTTCTTCTTGGGGAATGGGGAATGAGGCATGGTAAGGCAAGAAAACGATGACCTAAACATAAGTGTTATTTCCTTCCAGAGCTAATTTTTTGATCCTGGGTCAGATCCCTAACACCAACATTTATAGGAGCATCAGTGACTACCGGGAGGTAAGAATTTGGATCTGAACCTCTCCTGGGCTTGAGTGCTGGGGTGGGCCAGGCCTGCTGCTTAGAAGCTTAGAATGTCTTGGCTATTTGCACTAAATCACTGCTGTTGAGTCATTCCACGGAGTTTCTTTCTTTTTTTTAAACACCATTTTATTATAAGTGAGGCCATCAGTATTTTTAAATTGTAAACAATGGGAAATTGAAGCATAAATGGAAGCACATTGGGGATAATAGACAAACACCCTGAAATATTACTGCCTTTATGCAAAGACTATTTAAGCAAAACTGAATTACTCATTATGTACACATTTTTGCATAAGCTGCCTTCTTCCCTTTATCTTTCTGTGCCTTTATCTTCTGCTTGACTTTCAGCAATTCTGCCTGGATAGCTTTATTTCCTGGTGTTATCTACTGAGCTTTCTTGAGATCAGCCAGTGCTTGATCATATTCTTTTAATACTTGCCACCCTTGAACTCTCTGGCAAAATGCTTTGGTATTTAATGGATCTATTTCAAGAGCCTCCAAAAGGCTGTCAACTGCTCCCTGCCAGCTTAACATCATCAGTTTACAAGGACCAATATTCAATACACACCTTGAAGCTAAAAGTTGTAGCTTGGATCGATCTGCTTTCTCAGTAACAGCCTTTGAACTTTCCTCATCTTGAAACTTTTGCATATTTCTTTATGGCCATCTCCCAGCTCTAGAATTTTTAAAAGTGTTTCTGATGTTTTTTAAATCTTCTATTATCAATGAAATTTTATCTGTATCTTTTCAGTCAATATCTGCATCCTCAGGGAAATCTGGATGACTGTCCCCAGAGCCATCTACTGGAAATATTCCCCAGCCTTCCCCTTTTACTCCACATTCTGCAATAATTCACAATGGCAAGTTTTTCACCTTTCACGTCCACATTTTCCAATATCCTTGCCATACTCATTCCTTTAAGCACTTGACCAATACCACATGCTTCCCATCCAAAACAGGTGGAACTATTGTGATAAAGAGCTGAGAACCATTTGTATTATGTCCTGCATTTGTGATGCTCAATACACACTCCTGATCATGCTTATAATAGAAATTTTCATCTTCAAAATTTTCACCATAAATACTTTCTCCACCTGTACCATTCTGATTTGAGAAGTTTCCACTTTGAATCATGAATTTCTTAATAATCCAATGCAAAAAGCCTCCTTTGAAATAGATTTTCCAGCTGTAGGCCCAACATCCTTCTCTTCAGTACATAATGCATGAAAATGATCAGTAATTTTAGGTACCATGTCTGAAAACAATTCTAAGACAATTAGACTAATTCACTCCCAACCAATGTCTATATCAAAGAAGACTTATAATTGCTAGAGTTGGATGGCTTAGCTTGAGGGGATGGCTGCCAAATCTTGGCTTCCACATGCTATGTATGGGGGAAACTTCAAGCCACCTCATGGGTTAAGACAACTCAGGCCTCAGAATGCCTCTACATGACAGCAAGAGCAACACCAACCTCCATGGAGTTTCTGAGGCTATAAATCATAATTGCAGGAAGTTTTCCATCTTTCTCCCAAGAAAAAACTGGTTGGAAAAAATTGCTGATCTCTTTGTTAACAGCCCAAAATGTTATGGACTATATACTACCAGTATCACATTGCAAGTAAAATGCTGCAAATATTGACAGAAAACTGCCACATATTCAAGATGGAGTTAGAAGAGGCCATGATACCAGAGATATTATTATTGTTGTCACATAAGTCCTAGATAAAAGCAAACAATACCAGAATACTGTCTATTTATGCTTTATTGACTATACAATAAATGTGTGGATCATAACAAACTATGGCTAACATTGAGAAAAATGGGAATCTCGGAACACTTAGCTGTACTTATGCAAAACCTATACATAGACCAAGAGATAGTTGTGTGAACAGAGCAAGGGAACACTGCACAGTTTGAAATTAGGAAAAGTGTACATCAGAATTGTATCCTTTCTCTATGCCAAATTTAAACTGTATGCTGAGAAGATTATTTCAGAAGCTAGACTGTGAAGAATAATGTGGCATCAGGATTGGAGAAAACTCATCAGTAACCTTTGGTATGCAGATGACACAACTTTGCTTGCTAAAAGTGAGGAAGACTTAAAGCACTTGCTGCAGATGATGAAAGACGGCAGCCTTCAATATCGATTGCATCTAAACATCAAGAAAACAAAAATCCTAGCCGTTGGACTGGTTAGTTGGATCTTAGTTGGATCCACAATCAATATGCTTGATACTAGCAATCAGGAGATGTATTGCACTGGGAAAGTCTGTTGTCAGGGACCTGTCCATATTATTGAGGAGCAATCATGTTAGTTTGAGAGCTAAGGTATACCTGATTCAGATCATGGTCTTTTCAGACATTCTGAGGCATCTGAAGCTTGACCATGACTAAGGTGACAGAAGAAGAATTGACACCTTTCAATTATGATGTTGGAGAAGAGTGCTGAATGTCCCGTGGACCGCCAGAAGAACAAACAGATATGATTTTGGAGAAGGTGCAGACAGAGTACTCTTTGCAGGCAAAGATGATGAAGCTTCTCCTCACACACCTTGAACATGTTGCCAGGAAAGGTTATTCCTTGGAGAGAGACATCATGCTTGGGAAGGTAGAGGGACTGCAGAGGACAGGAAGACCCTCAATCAAGTGAACAGACTCAATGACTTGAGCAATGGGCTTAGTGTGTTAGAGATTGTGAGGCTGGCACAGGATAGGACAGAGTTCATATTTGCTGTTAATAGTGTCACTGTAAGTCATACTCAACTTGACGGCACCTAACAACAGGAGCACTACCAGTACTCCTTAGTTTCCTATATTATGTTGTTATTGTGTACCATCAAAGTGGAACTGACTCATTGCTGATCCTCTAGTGGGTTTTCAGAGAAAGTTAATTGTGCAGGAGGTGTTTGCTCATCTTCCTTCCACAGAACAGCTGGCAGATTCAAAGCATGTGCCTTTGGGTGGGCAATCCACCTCCTTATCAGTATACCACCAGAACTCCCTCCTGTACTATAGATAGAAGTGAAGGAAGAAGGAGAAAGGAATATACAAGGTAAATCTTTATAGTACTGCAGGTAGTCCATGAAGGACTATTTAAAAATATGCCTTAGAGGAGGGATGCCTTCTTCCAATAAAGAAGAATTTCAATAACTCCAGGGAGGTCTAAAGGTTTTGTTTTTTTTTTCTTTTATGACCCCAAACAGACTCTTGTGTCCATTAAGCAGTAACTCCCCAGTCCCTCTCCACTTCTACCCCTGAGAACCTCTATTCTACTTACTGTCTCTGTAAATATTGCCTGTTCTAGATTCTTCATGTAAGTGGAATCTACCAATATTTATCCTTTTGTGTCTAGCTTATTTCATTCAGCATCATGCTTCCAGGTTGATCCATGTCATAACATGTGACAGAACTTCATTCTTCTCCGTGGCTGAACCATCTTACACTGTATGGCTAGAACACATTTTGTTTATCCATTCATCTGCTGATAGGTATCTGGGCCTAAACAGTTTTTATCCTTAGTGAGTAAAAGAATTCAGGAACTTCTCACAATTTAACATTTTCTTTTACAGATTACAAGCATTCCTGGCGTGAAAATTGTCCAGTGCTGCAACTCCATTACTTTTGTAAATGTTTACTACCTGAAGAAAAAGCTGTTAAAAGAAGTAACTACTTCCTCCTCCTCTCTCTCTCTCTCCTTGCCCTGTGCCCTGCCCCTGCTTCACTCTTTCCTCTTCTATTCTACCCATCACGCTCAGTATGGAATCTCTCTTATGTCTTCCAGACCGAGATGAATGTGGTTCATCTTACAGAAGAAGAGATTCTCAACCAGTTTGGTGATAGTGCCGAGAATGAGAGCAGCGAACCTGTAGATAGGGGTTGTAGGTGCTTCTGCAACTGTGACGAACCAGAACCACCACCAAGGGTCAGAAACTTTGCTTGTTTTTTGCCTTTTCCCCCCTCAAGGGTTTTTAACTTACAAATGGACCACAGAAAACTGCAAATAGAAGATTTCTGGGAGAGAAAAAAAAAGATACAGGCTCCCCGTTGAGGTCTAAATTTTGACCCGAAAGCAGGTAGAAGCTGTTCTGAATCTTTGCTTGCCCATCTAATGGTCAGAGGACTGTCTGCCTGTTCAGATTGTCAGGAATTGCCCAGTTGAACACATTTCCTGGGATTTAGCTGACCAGTTCTAGGTCTTGTTAGGTTTTATGGGCTGTCAAGTTGGATCCAACTCATAGCTGACTCTCCAGCTAGTTTTCAGAGACTGTAAATCAGAGGAAAACACCCATCTTTCTCCTTTAGAGCAGCTAGTGAACTCAAACCACCTGTCTTTGGGTTGGCAGAACAGCCCCATACCACTAGGTCACCAGAGAAGCTGTGTTATTGTCACATACCTTCAAATAAGAACCATCTTATAGGAGACCCTCCAGCAAGTTTTTGGAGGCAATAAATCACATGGAAGGATGAACACATCCCATATATCCTGAAGAACAGCTTTACAGTCCTGATAAATAAGTGAACTTAAGACCTTTGTCCATTTCCAGCTAGGGAAGAGTCTAGGGCTGGAATCTCCAGCATCTACCAGGGTTTCCTCCTGATGTCTGCCTATGACCGGAAAAACTATGGCAGAAGTAGAAGGAGCGCCAAGTGCAGGTCACTCTTCAAGATAGGGGTTTTGTGAAGAGTTGGGCTACTAACTGTAAGATCAGCAGTTTGAATCCACCAGCCATTCTACTGGAGAAAGATGAATCACTCTCCTCTCATGAAGATTTACAGCCTCAGAAACCCAGGGGAGGGCACTGTGAGTTTCCAGTCAACTCAATAGCAGTAGCTTTTGGGTTTTATTTGGAAGATAGTATCAGAGCAATGTGATAAGTTCAAATCGACTTAATGGTGTTGAGTGTGGTTTTGGAAGATACTTTAGCTAATAAAAGTTTCAAAGTGTTTGAATTTCCCCTTCCGACTCTGACTTGGTCTAAATAATCCCTTTACTCAAATCAGAGCTTCTCATTTCTAGCTTTTAGGCCTTTCTACATATAGCATTCAGTATACAGATTATACTCTGGACTGCAAATTATAGCTATTTAGAAATTTACCCACAGATTTATAGACATACTGCCTCCATACCTTCTATACCAAGTATCAGCATTAAGTCCTGGAAAAAAAGCAGCCAGAGTGCTCCTTGGAGGCAAAGATGGTGAAGGGTCAACTCTCATACTCTGTATATGTATCTAGATGAGGCTATTCCTTGGAAAGAGACATCATGCTTGGAAAGATGAAAGATTAGCAAAGGAGAGACAGGCCCCCAGTGAGATGGACTGATACAGTGATTTAGGCAATGAGCTTGAGTGTGTCAGAGATGATGAAGATGGCATGTTACAGGGTAGGGTTCAGGTCTACTGTTCATAGGGTTGCTATGAGTCGTACTCTATTTGATTGCACCCAACAACACCCTCCTTTCCCACTTGTGTTGTTGCTGTTTGTCATGTGCCATTGAGTTGCTTCTGACTTATAGCTGCTCTATATGGCAGAATAGAACTGCCACCCAACCCCACACAGGATGTTTAAGGCTATAATCTTTATGTGAGAATTGTCAGGTCTTTTGTCCCATGGAGCCACTGGTGGGTTCAAATCTTAAACACTCAGTCATTGCTGTTGAGTTGGAATAAAATCATAGCTTACCCAAAGGTGAGTTTTCAGAGGCTTTAAACAACATGGGAGGAGACTGCTCATCTTTCTCCTGAAGAGCCACTAGTGGCTTCAATTGTCCAGAGAAGCAGAGTGTATGGGTCAGCAGTGCAGCTCCCTCTGCCACACTGTCTCTACTGTTTCAAACACTGAGTCTTCATTCTCACTCGCACATACCTCAATCTGAGAGCAGGACAATGAATAAGGGCAACAGAAGAAAAACTGACGCCTTTGTGATGTTGTGGGGTTGGAGAAGAGTACTGAATAGCCCATGGACTTCCAAAAGAACAAACATGTCTTAGAGAAAGTTCATCCTTGCAGGCAAGGATAACAAAGCTTCATCTCACATACTTTGGGCATGTCATTAGGAGAAGCTATTTCTTCGAGAGAAATATCATGCTTGGGAAGGTGGAGAGTCAGCAAAGGAGAGGAAGATGGATTGGCACAGTGACTGCTGCAATGGGCTTGTGTATGTCAGAGATGATGAGTTTGTATTCAACTCAATGGCACCTAACCACAACAAGAACATACACCCTAATGAAACATGGCTTCTACTGAGCTCTCCCTGAAAATACCAACTGTGCTATAATTAATGAAACTCAAGGTTATTAAAACCCAAAGGACACTTCATCCTACTACTCTGCCAACAGGACAGAATTAACACTATGTTTAATCATTATTTTATATCCACTCTGTGTTACATGTTGTAGAGAACATTTACAAGATATCAACAAATCACTTGAAGTGGAATAGAGTAATCCAGAATATATTGAGCCCTAACTATGTACCCATAACTATAACATTATAAAAATGAAAAATAATTTTAAGGGTTTCTGTCTTCAGGAAGTTCTTAAAGTTTTCTTTTCACAGAAAATATTGAGCATATACAAAAGTAAAGATAAGAGTATAAATAGATCTTAATGTACACAATATCAGCATTAAGATGTATCCACTTAGCCAATGTTGTTTCTGCTGTGTTCTCACTCCCTATCAGCCCCTCAAAATTATAGGGTTCTTTTTAAAGCATTAACGAAGTTTTAAATAAAAAAGAGACGGCTCTATAATGGTGTGACCAAAAGGCTATTTTATCAATCAGAAATTTTTAAACATTTCTACAATTTGATGCATCATGCTGATTTAATCCACAATGTTTTCATTCTTGGGAGTATAAGTAATAGTGGCATATCTTAAAATTGATAAAATAAAATTGTGAACTTTACCATGCACTGTACTGTTATATTCTAAATTGTGTGTTATATTCTAACAACTATAAAACTTTCAGGAAGAGGTGCTCAGTATGAGCTCAATAGGAGAATTACATGGGAGAAGTAGACATGTACAAGTCAGATGAGAGACAATTGTAGTGATGTAGAAATTTGTAGAAATGAAGAGGACTCCAGATCCACAGTTCCACATGGGCCAAGACACTAGGGTGGGAATAAATGTCAGATTCTCAGAGTAAGACGTTTGATCTAGGAAGTGAGACCAGGCAGACACAATGGGAGTGGATTGTAAAAGTCCTTGACAAAGATAAGAAAAAGAAGAGAAAGGGAAAAGCCCTCAACTGTCCTTCTATCTGGGAGACCTTGCATCTCTTCAGTACTGAACTAAACCTCAGCTGCCCCTTTAAGGCCTGACCTCAGTGACTTTCAACCATGGGAACACTCTACCAGTTTTTGAGGTTTGGTTTGGTTTGTTGGTTGTTGTTTTTTTCTATATAATATATACTACCCAGTATGATTTTTAAATTTTTCATTTTTTTCTATCTTCAAAGTAAATTTCACAATCAACATTATTGCAACAATTTAAAACATTTTCATATTTAAGAAAAAAGAAAATAATCATCATCCTAACTCCCACTCCTCCAGCAAATTCATTATTTTCTTTTTTCTATGTGCCATATAAATCTTATCCATCTATATTGATATTTTCCTTCTCTCCTGGTAGATAAAGTCTGATCTCTCACTGTTAAAGTAGAGTTCACCTTCACCACCTCCATACTATTGTGTCCTGAGTGCTTGATACTGGGCTTAAACAATAGCAGGTACTTGAGGCCAATTAGGGAGCTGAAGCGAGGGAGAGGTGAAGACTGTCCTGCCCAAGTAATTGTTGTCCTTTTCAGAAAGTCTTAACAAGCTAGTTGGCACTGAAGAAAGAAGGTGTTGAGAAAAAGGATTAAATGAGGAAATACTTCAAACTATGAATTAGTGAGCACTAGAAATTAATTAGAACCCAGGGATGAAGGAAAGGAATGATAAATTTAAACGCTGAGTCACTTGAACAGTGGTAATGTCATTGATAGACACAGGAAAATTGGGAGGGGGATGCCATGAATGGTGATGGAAGAGACAGTAGAGGATCCAAGTGAAAATGGATAGTAGGGGGGAAAGCTTCATATGAGAAGGAATAAGTTAGCAGATGAAAGGAGCAGAGTTTAAAATACTTCCAGCTTTTGTCTGAGTCCCCTCACAGTCATTTCCTAATTCTATCTTCCCAGGTTGTCTACACAGAACGATATGAATATAAACCGGGTTCTTACTCCTCTTCCTCCATTAACCTGGTCCGATGCTCACGCTTCGAGAACGTGACAGTCAGCCAAACTTCTACATCTGATGAGGAAATACCATATACGTTATCTTCCCCATATCAGAGAAATCAAGGGCAAAACTTGGAGGAGATGGACAAAACCTCTATGCTTAATACCCATTTGAGAAACAACACACCACCATTGCCTGGCACTGCCGAAAGTCAGGGGAGGAATAGATCATACTTACCTTACTCAGATGTTTCTCTTCTGCCTCCCATCCACACTATCATCTTGGATTTCTCCATGGTCCATTATGTGGATCCAAGAGCCTCAGTCATATTAAGGCAGGTAAGTAAGTACCGAGGAGACTTTAATAAGAGCTTTGATATTCTCCCCATTACCTAGATTCCTATTTTCCAACTGCTTTAAAGAAGATTTTTATTTTATTAACAGTACCTTGGGGGTGGAGAGTCTTTTGTTTAAAGCAATTAAGACCTAGTAGGTGGGCCTTTGTGATTAACAATTGGAAGCCCTATTTGCTATAAGAGATACAACACTAAATTGTCAGTTCTGTTGTATTGGAGAACACATTGCTCTAATTGGTACAGTACTTGTCTGTCAGTTTGTTGTACTAAAATAACTTGTGGGTTGCTGGGATGCTGAAAGCTATTGCACTGGTGTGTCAAATGCTAAAAGGATCACCCATGGTGGACAGGATTTAGTAGCGCCCCCAGATTAAGACAGACTAGGAAGCAGGATTGCCCATCCACTACTTAAATGACAGGCCTCTGAAAACCCTATTAACAGTAGATGAATACAGATAGTTAGAGTGTTAGAGTTAGAGCACTGATAGGAAATCAACTGAAATGAAGATACATAGTGGCAAACATCCTTTCATAATTATAAAATAGAATGTAAAAAATACCAATGTTGGAAACTAGAAATTGTGAAAAATGAAATGGAACGCATGAACATCTACATTCTAGGCATTAGTGAGATGAGATGGACTAGCTTTGGTTACTTTGAATCAAATAATAACACAGTGCATGCTGTCCTGGATGCACCCACCAAGTTGTGCCAAGAAATCTAGAAGACAACCACTTGACCATCTTACTGGAAGAGATCTATACTTGTTCCCATTCCAAAGAAAGGTGAACCTACAGAGTGTGGAAATTATCAAACAGTATAATTAATATCACATGCAAGCAAGATTCTGCTGAAAGTTATTAAAAAACAACTGGAACAGCATGTCAACAGAGAACTGCCTGATGTGCAAGCTGGGTTTAGAAGAGGCCATTGTACTAAATATATTATAGCTAATGTTAGAAGGGTCTTGGCTGAAAGCAGATAATACCAGAGGAATGTCTTTCTGTGTTTCGTTGACTATGTAAAGGCATTTGACTGTGTGGATCACAACAAACTTTGGATGACTTTGATATTTGGAATCCCAGAACATTTGATTGTGCTTATATGAAACCTATACTTGAACCAGGAGGCAGTAGTCAGAACAGGACAAGGAAACACTGCATTGTGATAATCCAGAAGGGTGTACACCAGGGATGTGTCCTATCTCCATACCTTTTCAATCTATATGCAAAATAGATCATCTGGGAGGCTGGGCTCTATGAGGAGGAATGTGGCATTAGGATTGGATGAAGACTCATCAACAACCTGTGTTATGCAGATGACACAACCCTTCTTGCTGAAACTGAGGAGGACCTGAAGCCCTTGCTCCAGAAGGTCAAGGACTACAGCCTTCAATGTGGATTGAAACTCAACATCAAGAAAACAAAGTTTCTTATCACTGGGCTGACTGGCAGCAACATGATAGATGGTGAAGAGACTGAGATTGTTAACAGCGTTAGTTTGCATGGCTCCACAATCAACACTCTTGGTACCAGCATCCAGGAAATAAAAAGATGAATTGCACCAGGAAAGTCTCCTGTCAGGGACCTCTCCAAAGTACTGAAAAACAACATCAGTGTGGAGACTTACGTGCACCTGACCCAGGCCATAGTCTTTACAATTACTTGCTATGCATCAGAAAGCTGGACAATGACTAGGCATGATCTTCGTCTGACATACTTTGAGCATGTTTCAATGGAAGGATTAGTCCTTGGAGAGGAACATTACACTTGGAAGGGTGGTGGGACAGCACTGAAGGGGAAGACCTTTCATGAGATGGATTGATTCAGTGACTGAAATAATGAGGATAGGTGTGTCAGAGACAATAAAGTTGGCATAGGATAGAGCAGGTTTCAGGGCTATTGTACATAATGTACAATAACAACAGCAACATAACAACAACACTAAGCTGGGATTGAAAAACAGAAGAACGGTGTTTCATTTATGGTCAAAAAGCCAATTCCAAGTTCTGTCCTGAAGTACAATGTTGTGAATAATAGGATATTATCTATACACATACAAAGAAGGCCTGTTAATATGACTATTTTTCAAATATGTGCTATTACAGCTAAAGCCAAAGAGGAGGAAATTTAAATTGTTTACCAAATCTTTCATTCTGAAATTGACCAAACATGCAATCAAGATGAGTTATGATAATTGGTAACTGGAATGCAAAAGTTAGAAAAATGAAGAAGGAATAAAAGTTTGAAAGTATGTGCTTGCTGACAGAAATGAGGCTGGAAAGAGAAGATCAAGTTTTGTATGTTCAATATTTTATTCATGGCAATTAACTTTCTTAAAAAAACACAAACAGCGAATTTACATATGGACCTAACCAGATGTACTGCATTGGAATCATATTGACTACATCTGTGGAAGAAGTAATTGGAGAAGCTCCATATCGGCAGTCAAAACTTGTTCTGTGACATTGAGTTGCTTGCGACTCATAGTGACCCTATGTACAACAACCCTAAACCCCTATCCTGTGCCAACCTTATTGTCTCTGACACATCTATCCCCATCACCCCAGCCACTGAATCAATCCATCTCATCAAGGGTTTTCCTCTCTTGTGCTGTCCCTCCACCCTCCCAAGCATAAAGTCCCTCTCCAAGGACTAGACCCTCATCGCAACATATCCAAAATATGTTAAACGAAGCTTCAGAATCCTTGTCTCCAAGGAGCAGGCTGGTGTCACCCTCTCCAGAACAAACCTGTTTGCTCTCCTAGCAGCCTATGGTATATTCAATACTCTTGTCCAGCACCACAGCTCAAAGGCATCAATTCTTCTTCTATCATCTCTAGTCACTGCCAAGTTTTCTGATACATTGCAAGTAATTGCAAAGACTATGGCCTGGATCAGGCACACTTGAGTCTCTAGATTGGCATCATTGCTCTTTAGTATTTTGGAGAGGTCCCTGACAGCAGACTTCCCCAATGCAATTCATTTTTTAATTTCCTGGCTGCTGGTACTAAGAGTGTCGATTGTGGAGTCAAGCAAACTAAAGCTGTTAACAATCTCGGTCTCTGCCCTGTCTATCATGATGCTTCCAATTAGCCCAATGGTGAAAATCTTTGTTTTCTTAATGTTGCGCTTCAATCCATATTGAAGGCCGTAGTCCTTGACCTTCTGGAGCAAGGGCTTCAGGCCTTCCTCAGTTTCAGGAGTCAAAACTAGGCCAAGAAAAAAAAAATCTAGGCTGGGGTGAACTGTGAAACTGACCATCAATTACTCATGTGCAAGTTTAAATTGAGGCCAAAGAAGTCTACAAGAACCAAAGCATGATCTTTAATCTATTCCACCTGAATTTCAAAATCATCTTAAGAATATGTTTGAAGCATTAAACACCAATGATTGAAGACTAGATGAGCTGTGGGATGACATCAAGGATATCATCCATGAAGAGAGCAAAATGTTATACAAAGGCAGAGGAGAAAGAAAAATCTGAAATCGATGCCAGAAGAGACTCTGAAAATTTCACTAGAGCTCAAGAGGCTAAAACAAAAAACATGCTTAAATTAAAGAGTCCAACAGAAGATTTCAAAGGGCAGCTCATGAAGACAAAGCAAAGTATTATAATGGAATGTGTAGCGAGCTGGGAGTGGGAAAAAAGAAAAAAGAGGAAGAACTCACTCTGCATTTCTCAAGCTGAGAGTACTGAAAAATAAATCTAAGCCTTGAGTCACAATATTGCAATACTGTAAGATGCTATGCACGTCCATGTTTATTGCTGCATTATTTGCAATATCAAAGAGATAAAAGCAGCCCAAGTACCCATCAACAAATGAATAGATTGAAAAACTATAGCACATTCACACAATGGAATACTACATAGCATTGGAAACCAATGAACTCACAAAATATTACACAACATGGGGGATCCTGGAGGATATTATGCAGGGTGAAATCTCTTAATCCACAGATGACAAATACTGAATAACACCAGTGTTATAAAATAATACAGTCATGGGGGGGTGGGCTAGGGAAAGAATGTGAAAAGACTGGATAAAGAATATTGCATTAGATCAGATGGGGAGAACTGTCCAAAAGGAATATATAATTAGGCATTATATGTATGACAACAATCTGGAACAAGTGGTGCATTGTGGGGAGGGTTGGGGGAGGAGACGGGGAAGGGGGAAATGTGGAACAATGGGAAAAAATTAAAACATTTTTGATGCTTAAAAAGAAAGTATTATTTGAGTAAAAAAAAAAAGAAAGAATCTATTGGCAATATATTGAAACTAGTAAAACATGTATGGGGATCCAAGCAGGTAAAGGGTGGGAGCAGAGCGGTGAATATGGATAGGGGCAAAATCACAAGGCTGCACAATTTTGTGGGTAGAGAGAAGGGGGCAAAAGAAATAAGAAAGATCCATCAGGAGCCTGAAAAGACAGGGTAAAGATGGGCATAGTCAATAATTAATTTTATAAAGCACAATGCATGGGGATGACTGTATAAAACACAATGTGAATGAAGGATACTGTGAAACACAATGTATATGAACTTTGTAAGCAAACCGTCATAAAATTATTTAAAAAAAAAAAAGTAGAGGGAATACCCAGAGTCTCAGTACCAAAAAGAGCTGACTGACTGAAAAATTTTGTACAGTACCACATGAGCAGGAGCCTAAAGTAATGAAGTAGGAAGTTGAAGCTGCTTTGAAGGCTTTGAAGCCCCAGGAATCCATGGGATACAAATGGACTTGTTTCATTTCATAGATAGAGTGCTGGATGCACTCACCAGACTATGCCAGCTGTCTGGACAATGGATTGGAAGATGTCCATATTTGTTTCCATTCCCCCAAAAAGGTGACCTAACAGAATGTGAAAACAATTGTACAATATCATTAATATCACATACAACCAAACTACTGCTGAAGATCATTCAAAAGCTAGAACTGTACATTAATAGAGAACTGCGAGAAGTTCGAGCAGGATTTA